CACGTAAGTGGCATCTTTTCCCTCGCTTTTGCATATGCTACATTGAATTTTATAAACAACATTCTTTTGTGTGCAATCTCCTTTGAAGTCAGACATGCACAAGTGGCATCTCTGGCCCCCTGGACATTTGGGTTTGCATATGGCTGATTTTGTTAGGGCGTTTTTTAGTTTGTTTTCGTTTTTCCATGCTATATGTACGCGTAGGTTTGACTTTCTCACGATAGATTTGATTTTCCGTGATAGTTGCTCGTCAATGAACGGTAACGTTAAAAACCCGTCTATCTCGTCCGTCCCTTTCTTGTTTACCCCTCCGCTCTTGTTCCGTGGCTCTCTACCCCTTCTTGACCTTGACCGTAGACTCTGAGAAGTCTCCTTAACAGTTTCGGAGGATATCCGTTCTCTAAAAGTAACTGCCAGATCTTGTTGACGCTTCTGATTTCTTTTTCCTTGCTGGAAGAGTTGTTAAATGCCCTATGAAACTGCCGCTGTGGGTCTAGGCGCTGCACCGTCTTGCCGTCGCTTCGCCCTCTTGCCAGCAAGCATGTATTTAGATGGAATATGCTTTTGCCAATCTGTTTGTACCGAACTTCTGCTCATGTGTACCTTTTAGGGCGTAGCTATATTTTTGCTTTTTAAGTGCATGATATCTTTAGGGTGTATGATCAGATGTTTTGTTGTTGTTTTGTTGTTCGATATTGTTGTACGATTTGATATCGATACGTTTTTACGATCGAAAGCGATGCGAACCTCGAAATGTGATGTTAGCCCTGCATGACGACCACGAGACAAACGAATTTTGAATTTTTCACTTTCTACAGGCAGTCGACAATTGTTGCGCATTTCACTCGCTACTTTTGCCTTGTACGATTTAACGAATTCGATTTAGACGAAGGTCTGTGACCGAAATATCATCAATTCATCAATAAATAATCATTTTCATTCATTTGGTCATTTTCCGAGGAGAAGGTCATATATTCTAATGATACTTCCTACATTTATCATGCTCCTCGCAGCAGCTCTCAACGATATAAGAAAGAAATCACATAAAATCCTTTCGGGAAATTTGATCGATAGTCTTAAAAGCAAATTTTATCAGTAAATAAGTAAAACTTAATGCAGAAATAAACGAGTTTATTTAGATTAGATTTTATTTCAGTTCGTGTATCCTGGCAACTTATATTTTCTGACATCTATTGTTGGTTCTCTCTACCCTCTCTCTCTCTCTCTCTCTCTCTCTCTCTCTGTCTCTCTCTCTCTCTCTCTCTCCTCTCCATCTGCGCCCTCTGCCTTTCACACATCCTTTCTTTGGAGTCACCGTTGTCTGTGTGGCCTCTCCGGCTGCACAATAGCTGTTCGCTAGCGCAGCTGTCGCTCCAAATCAGCCCATTCAGCGACGACTAATTTGATCTGCGGCTCCGGCGGCTGACATTTCCAGCCGCCTTCGGAAAGCGGTGGCCCGCCCGGCCCGATAACTCCCAACTCCTCCAGGGAGTGGCGAGTGGGAGTGCGCCCGGTCGACCCAGCGCTAACTCGCTCCGCCACCGAGCGCTGCCACTGACTAGCCTCTGATTGTACCTGCTGTCAGCTATGCATATTGCAGAGCCATATGCAGGCCACTTGCATAAGGTATTCCGTGTAAGGAAACTGGGGTTTGCACTTCAACAAATGAAGTAGTGGCAAGCAATGTTGGTCCTTGATACTACATAGTTATCTATGTATTTAGAGCAGTAGTTGGGTGCATACGTAACATGGGAATGGCACTGTTGTTCAAGGCAAATGCCACAAGACGCTCGATTGGGCACAAGAGAATATAAAGAGCTTGCTGCAAAATTTTCGTTACCTTTCTATGCTATTTTTTTTAACCCTCGCCCGTATTGGGGGGGGGGGGGGTCGAACGGACCCCCCCATGGTTTTTCGCGAATAACTCGCGTAAAAAGCGGCCGATCGCGACGAAACTTTCAGTACCCTCGTGTTCATCAATTTCACACCCACCCTGAAAATTTCATGACCCTGACCCAAATGACCTTTGACCTGTGACCTACTTTTCGAGACCATGTTTGGCTGGAATCGCGATTCGGCGTATGTCGGCTCGCATTAGCCGCGCGTTTGCAGTCTTTTCGTGGTTTCAAGCGTTCAAACATGTGATATGATGTTGCCCCCATGCATTAGGGTGGGTGTAAAGGTCACCTGAAGGTCAGGTCAGGTCATTGACCTTTGATGACCTCGGTACACTTTTTCGTGTTTTACATGTTTCTAGGCCAGTTTTTGGAGCTGAATTCGAATTTAGCAACCATATGAACATTTACGAAGTAGTTTTGGTGCCTTCGTAACATGTTACGAAGCTGTCAGAGGCGGTTGCCACCTACTACGAATACCCTTACTGGTTGACCTGACCTGACCTGACCCGACCTGGCCTAAATACATGAAGACATCATCAGTGATCAAAACTAACATGATATTCGTGATCAGCACCCCGAAAAACCCCATAGCAGCCACACTTTACGACGTTCTAACAGGTCCCGATTTTCCCGCCTTTGGGGTCATTGACCTGACCTGCAAGGTCAACCAATGACCTAGGACCCTAAAATTGGGTATCATCGGCTTCCTCTCGTCACGGGCAACACGCTCGTTTTTTTTTCCGCGAAGCTCTAGCTCGATCAGGGGCGAAACGGCAAGGGGGGGGGGTCCAACGGACCCCCCCCCCCCTTATACGTTCGCGGCTGGAAAAACACCAATACGGGCGAGGGTTAAGACGATGGGATGCTCAATCCAAAAGATAAAAGAATGGCCCCTACCGTCCCGATGTTGTGTTTGTATATAAGCCCCCCGAGGCCCCTACTTGGACCGCCTCTGCGACCCCACGGTGCCGGGTGCCTGTGAGCGCCCCTGCCGGCGCCAGCTGACCGTGCGCGCCAAGCGGCGTGACTGGCGCACGAGACGTGGGCTGGCGCTCGCCATACTTGTTATCTTCTTGGACATTCTTTCGGCCTGAACGTATCACAGTAAAATAAATCGCGTTTTCCATTGATTGTGTGCTCTTTCTCTCAAACGAACCGAAACATAACAGTCTGGGGCTTGCAGGGGCGATGATGAGGGGGCTGAGGGGGCTTTGTCGGGCGTAGCGACTGCTCAAAATGCGGCCGGTAACTCGGGAAGTCGGGACGTCAAGATTGGGAAGTCGTTCAAGCACGCAGACCTGCCATACTTTGCGGGCGAGCGTAGGTGACCTCATCAGGACTGAGTATTCATGACATATAATTCGTTTCATTTTCTTAAAATTAAATAACCAAAAAGAGAAATAAATATTGAAATACCTTCAACCCCGCCCACGCCGCAATGAATGGCGCGCATCTCCCCGTACGGCTGGGCGCTGGATGTAATCAGCATAGCTTTGCAATTAAAGCCACGGGTATGCCACGGACCTTGAGGAACCCTGAATGGATTTGGGATGAGCGTCGCAGGGCATTGAGTGCTTCTTGATAGACCCAAATGGACGAATTCACCCTGAAAGATTCGATGGGTGAACTTTGCTCATCAATCAACGTTGTTGGACTGACTTCGGGTCGGACATGGCGAAAAAGAATTTCGCTGCCTGCAGAGGTCAGTCTATTCATCTAGGAAACAATTGAATGAAAATGATGGAAAATTAACTTATGGTGGAAGTTCGTGTCAATTCGGAGAAGGGAAACGTCTTGAAAAGAAAGCTTAATCATATTGATTGAACGAAGTAGAATAACAATCTTCAATACATGCCTGCCTGCCGGTTACATTAGAAAATATTTATATTATCAGTCATCCAGCGGTACATTTCATTTCTGCCTAACCTTAACACTGCGACTGCGTATTGCGTTTGTTTTAGAAACAGTAAAAGGGTTTAGCAGCCAGCGCTAAATAACACATTTTGATATCAATGTCACCGCTAGGATAATCGCAATAAAATGATACCTACTTAAAATAAATATTCCATTAATTTCCTGAATTGATGTGCAACACCCCCACACGGCCCAGTTTTAATGCCTCTGACAGTACTGCTGCAATGTTCCCTGCCGCCCCACGTCAGCACGGCTGACAGTCATCCCACACGCCGGATATCGGCTGTCGCCGTCGCGTTCGACGAGCTGCGTCGGTCCGTCACCGCCACCCACCCTGGTCTCACGTGGCAGTATCGGGTTACCGTCCATTGGCCCCATCCCAGCGGCGGACGCGCACGTGCCAGCCTATGGATATCCCTGGATATGTTAGCATATGCCAAGGGCATGCCACTCTATCGCACGTGACGTCGTTAGAGGACTATTCTGTACTGACAGAAATGGCGCATCACTCTTGGGTTACGAAAACAGCCCTTTGGAAAAGTTCAACGAAAATGCGTTGGCTTATGAACATAAGGGGCGGTAGAATGCATTATACAAATATATAACAATTACCAATTACCATGCATCAAATATCAGCGAATCTAAACTGCTGCAAAGTTTCTATAAAAGTACCTTTATATTTTGAGCATTGGTGAAAACAAACTTCAGCTGTGATAGATATGCTGTAGAGTATCGTGCCAAATATCATACTTTAGCGGTGGGAGCTGTCATGTTTTCACTACCTGATAGTCGTGGGCGAGGCTCTTCGTATTTGCTTTATGTCAGCATTAACGACAAAACACTGACAAGTGACACAAATGACGCATTTGGAAAATGTCATCACGCCATCACTTGACGGTAACTTTCTGGTAATCTATTGCTCTCCAGTTCTCCACGCCGCTACAGGAGCTTTGTTCCGTCACTAAGATGTTATTAAGATAGGCCTATGTACTGAATCCGCACCCCATTTTGAAGACAAAACCGTCCGAACTCTCTGGTCCGTCAATGTTGGTATAGCAATCTGATAATATGACACAAAATTACCTTATCCATTTTCAAACGTTTCAACTTTATTCAAAGTCACTTTCAGTGTACAGAGAGACAAGTACACAACTACATATGCTGGTATAGCTGCACGGGGTCACTCACCTCTGGGCTGTAGGGCGCTGAGGACAGTGAGAATGACGGCCGCTGACCCCACCACCGCCATGGTGCAGCTGACCTCTCAGGGGAAGAGATGGGGTCCTCTATTCGTCTTTAGCCGTCTTGGACCGAATCTGAAACAGACATGGACGAGAATGTTAGTTACAACACAGTATAACGTGCGCAAGGGCCAAGGGTTCTTAGAAGCTCAAGTTGTAATCATGCACACAGAAAAATATTGACACCGTTAGCGGTGTAATTGCACAGTACATATCTGAGCACTTGAGGAAAGTTAATTTAGTCCCTTCCCCGCTTAAATTACTCGCGCTTCTAAATGAACACCAGGAAGAAGGTAATAGAACACTGTTAGGAGGGTTGGGTCAGGTGTTTTACTACATGTAGCAAAACACCCAACCCTCCTAACAGTGTTCTATTACCTTCTTCCTGGTGTTCATTTAGAAGCGCGAGTAATTTAAGCGGGGAAGGGACTAAATTAACTTTCCTCAAGTGCTCAGATATGTACTGTGCAATTACACCGCTAACGGTGTTAATATTTTTCTGTGTGTGGATTGTCTGCACCAAGCGCTGGATATCAGACACCTGAGGGCTATCCGCTGTCTGAATCTGTTACTCATTCGGTTACGTATGTGCTTACCTGCAGCTTCAGATTATGGAAGAATGTGCAACGGAGGAACGGAGGATAGGGATGCAGTGGATGTAAATGGCCGCATTTGCTAAGATACTCATAAGTTCTGGACAGAAGCCAAGAGAACAGCTGTTCAAGAGAATACAGTTCACAAAATTATTATCTGCTTGTCAGAGGTTCCAGAATGCATGGAAAACAACACATCTGAGTAAGCAATGCCATGCCAAGTAAAAATTAGCCTTTATTTCATCAAAGATATGGTATTGAGTGCTCTTGCGAGGAACATATCGTAATAATAACTCAAAATGAATGACCTTTTCCTCGAATATAGAAAGTTTAAATGTCGAAAATGATGTATTTAGGTGAATTTTCGCCCACAGGGCATCATCAGACGATGATGCCCTTTGGGCGAAAATTCACCTAAATACATCATTTTCGACATTTAAACTTTCTATATTCGAGGAAAAGGTCATTCATTTTGAGTTATTATTTCATTTCATCAAAGGTAATGTTCAGAGGTGAAAAAACCCTGCTACTCGCCTGCGTGCGTAGGTGACAGCCAATAGGCATAACGAGACAGATTCGAGCATCTCAGTTGATGCATGTAAAATAGATAACTAGTCCGTTTCCGCTAAAATCAGAGCTGTTTTCCCATAGACGGCCACTATGGACCACGGCACAAAAATTTAACAGCGTCGTCTCTTTGTAGACAGCTGGGGCTGAAAAATCCCGCCGGTACGACAGCCGGTGCGTTGTGAAGCGCCATAGACAACGCAGGAAAAACGGCGACAGCGCGACAGCTCGTCCCCGCTCGTCGCCGGTTGAACGGTGGCGGGGACCGGGGCGGCCGGCGCGGCCTTGGCCGCCGCCGGAGTAGGGAAGGACCGGGCGACTGGGACGGGGGACGTCACATCTGGGCCACAACTGGGGTGAGGTCCATGACCATCGGTCCCAGAAACTTGGTGTTGGTAGGAGCGTTGATAATTGGCTCTGACTACTGAAGCAAAGGCAAGTGAATCAGTGACAACTGGCAATCCTTTCGTGAGTTCTGAATTCTGATCGAACTGGATCAGGAAGCCAGGATGAGCTAGGACGTCGATCAGACCTATAAGGTAAGTTGGGTGGTAGTGATTTATTTTTGTTGTGTTGTGTCACTGAAATGTGGTGATGCGTTGTCCAAAATCTGAAAGGTCTAAAGTTTGAAAGGCCCCGGAGTCCAAAATTTGAAAGGTCAGTTTTTCACATTCTAGTCTCAATTTCATTTTTTTAGGCCTAAAAGGTGATGACAAAACGCCAAAAAAGCACCTTCTATTTCAAGATTACTGGTAAAAAAATGGTGACAGCTAGACATCGCGTAGGTGACAGCTTTTGAGTTTTATTCACCTCTGGTAATGTTCCTAAACTAAGTTCGTAGGTAAAAGCAACCCAAACATGCATGCCCATTGTCCGACTTCTCATCTAAATTAGCCTTAGAAAACAAAGGTGAGCCTACAATAGAGCTCACTGCCCCAGTTCCCAGCAACAAAGTCTCCTCGCGGGCTGTTCGCCAGTCGAATTCGCTCCGGCTAGCTCATTGTGCTTTGTGAAGTCCCGCAGCTCAACGTTTCAGCTCTCCAGCATACGACATTCCGCAATAAATACACGTCACCCCGTAATGCAATACGCTTGTGCTAGGACGCTACGTTATTCGTACCCACTTCAGATGTAGCTCGTGACCGCAAAGGCGATATACACGATAACATATGAGGCATATCTGTGACCATTTCTTTATATGTAATGCTTTTTATATTTTCACCCAATATAGGTACGTGACGCATATGCTTGTTGATGTGATTGGTAGATTGCAAGGAAATTCTGTCCCGCTGTTAGGATCACATTAGTGTCGTGCTCACAACAAAACCGTTCTAAAAGTCATACTTTGAGAGGGTCGCATGGCGTTATGTATAAGCATTATGCGATATGCACAATACCATTGCGTAGCACTTGGAAGGGTTATCATAAGCCTAATCGTATGCTATACCTTTTGATTGATTTCCATTTTGCTAAAAATACATTTATCTGTAGATTATTAACATTTTGTCATTCAATATCCCCGTGTAATATGGACTTTGGAATAATTTGATAAGTACTTGAAAAAAGTATTTGCATTGTCATTACGAAAAGGCAACTTAGGTTTTCAACATGGCGCAGTACTGAACAGGTAGACAATCACACAAGCTCGCCGAGGATTTCGGGAACCGGCCAAGTTTTGACAAGTTCCCTCGGGCGATCAGTGCCGAACCGCGGACGCGGCGGGTCGTTCGGTCTCGAGCACAGAGCTGTCCCAGACTTCGGTCGAACGCGGCTCTCGAACGTGAGCAAAGTTGTAAGGCACAGTTCGTCTGTGGCGATTTCACAGATAAGTTTGATTTACGGCGCGGATATTTCTGTCTAGAGACGAATGTGGAGCTTGATAGTGGTTGGAGACGTTGACATTCGCGGGATGGGCTCCTCTTATGGCCAATCTGCTGCACTATTTGTATTGTATCTCTAGCTGAAATCTCCTCTGTGGACGACCCTACCAAGCACAAGTAAAAGGATTGTGGATAGGACTTTGCGCCCTTGCGACACAAGAAGCAGAGCAGTGTTCACTTATCCACACTCAACTCTACATCCACATGTCAGGTTAGCAGAAATCAAGACCAGCCAGAAATGATATAATACTGAACTTCGAAGTTCGATCGGTGACACTATGTAAGGTGCGCAAGTTTTTTTTATACCTTTGGCACAAGGCAAAAGTAGTCCACTGATGAAAGATCTGTCAAATTCGACGAATGAAGGGAACACATTTTATGTACATTATATTCCTAAGACACTAGCCTATCAAATGATTTTTGTGAAGTGATCTTGAAGGAAAAAGAAAACGTCTGATCCTGTTATATAACATCGTTATAGCGTTGTACCGTGAGCGCCTGATTAACCCGCGCGGGGCTGGGGGGGTAAATTTTACCCCCCCTCGCGAATTTTAGCGATATCTCAAAAACGGCGGCGCGTAGCGCCGCCAAACTTTCATTACCTTTTCTTACATCAATTTGACACCTTCCCTGAAAACTTGAGCGAAATCCGTCGGAAAATTTTTGAGAAATTGACGTTTTAGTGACGTCATGTTCGCCATTTTCGCCTCAAAAACGGCAAAAGTTCAAACGCCGGTAACATCTTCATTTTTAAAGGAATCAAGACGTAACAAAAAAAGGTTATACGTAATTTTACTTTGTCTATCAAATGGCTATCTCGGTTTTTTGAAAATTTTGGATTTTGGCCTAATTTTTTTTTCAAAAAACTGATTTTTTTGGGAAAATCATTATAAAATCCAAAATTTTGAGTCTATCGAAAAAACCGGAATATATGTCAGAGAAGTGGTCTATGTGCACCTACATACCAAATTTTAGAAGAATCGGTTCAAAAATGTGGGAGTTATTCAAAATTTTATGACGTCACGACACACAAATTTTTTGAAAAATGACTTTTTTGGAAGTTCTAGACCTCGTACGGAAACAAAAATAGCGCCATTCGATTCGCCGTGAAAAACTGCATTAGATAGACACCTTTTTAGGCCTTAACAACCAACTTCAAAATTTGACCTCATTTGACCTGACCTTGACCTGACCTCGACCTGAAATTCATCCAGAGGTGGTCCATATCACTTATTGAGTGTGCCTATTGAATTCTATGAGTAAAATGACCCATAAAACATGTGTCGCACATGACCTTTTCTATATTTTGTTTTTTGGTGACCTGACCTGACCTGACCTGACCTTGACCTTGACCTCTGAATGATATTGTATGCAACTAATATTGTCTTGGTAGCCTAAGAACACGTTTTGGGCGATCAGTCTCAGTCCATGACTCCATTCTTCGGCAACTACGGTGCAAGGCCGATACTGTAGAAACTTGCAATTTGTACCCTTGACCTGACCTTGACCTTGACCTCAAACTTTAAATTAAGTACATGTTTTTAGTAGTTCGTGATGAGAGCTTTCGATTGGCGTTTGAATTTTCCAAATCGGACCATTAGTTCGGGAGATAACAGGGGGGTAAAATTTACCCCCAGCCCCGCGCGTTCGGCTGGAGAGTACCCCAGCCCCGCGCGGGTTAACCCTCGCCCATGTAGGGGGGTTGGTGCAACCCCCCCTGAGGTTTTTCGGAAATAGTGCAAAAACGGCGGCGCGCAGCGCCGCCAAATTTTGGGTACCTTATGGGGCAAACCTTGCGCATCTTTTGATAAAAAAATTTGACCCGGTCATGTCAGGTCACGGAGTTATGACGTCACAAAGGGAACAGCCTCCGGCCGGATTTTCACAAACTGAGTGCCAACGCACGAGGTTTCCTGCCGGTGGTACGGACATCGGTTGATGGATCGTGATGAAACTTCCCATGCATGTTGGGGCAAGTATTTACTATCATATGGTATAAGAAACTTGACCGGGTCAGGTCAGGTCACGGAGCTAT